CACCTGAGGAGCTGACTTTGAGCCCCAAGCTGCAGCTGGATGGCAGCCTGACAATGAGCAGCAGCGGCAGCCTGCAGGCAAGCCCACGCGGCCTCCTGCCCGGCCTGCTCCCAGCCCCAGCCGACAAACTGACTCCCAAGGGGCCGGGCCAGGTGTGTGAATGGGTGTGTGTGTGAAGTGTGGGGAGCAGGTGGGCGGCAGCAGGGAAGGTAGGTGGCGGGTTCCTCCCGACCCCCCCTGCTGCTGATCCTGCTCTACCCAACATGGTCCATGTTTCCCTGAGGTCATTTCGCCCTCCTGTGTTTCTTGGTGGGTGTCTTCTCAGCCTCCCTGTCCCCACCTCCTCTTCTGGGCTGTGGCCTCGTTTTTGACCTGTATCCCCACTTGACCTTTTGACTCTGCTGCCCCGTCTCTCATTACTACTAATACTAATGCTTCGTGTCTGTGCCCCCATCCCTGCCTCACCTCCTGTCACTTAAGCCTCCATCTTTGGCCCACCTCAGGTGCCTACTGCCGCCTCTGCACTGTCCCTGGAGCTGCAGGAAGTGGAGCCCCTGGGGCTACCCCAAGCCTCCCCTAGCCGCACCCGTTCCCCTGATGTCATCTCCTCAGCTTCCACTGCCCTGTCCCAGGACATCCCTGAGATTGCATCTGAGGCCCTGTCCCGTGGTTTTGGCTCCTCTGCACCAGAGGGCCTTGAGCCAGACAGTATGGCTTCAGCCGCCTCAGCACTGCACCTACTGTCCCCACGGCCCCGGCCAGGGCCCGAGCTCGGCCCCCAGCTTGGCCTTGATGGAGGCCCTGGGGACGGAGATCGGCATAGTACCCCCTCCCTCCTGGAGGCAGCCTTGACCCAGGAGGCCTCGACTCCTGACAGTCAGGTTTGGCCCACAGCACCTGACATTACTCGTGAGACCTGCAGCACCCTGGCAGAAAGGTGAGGAGCTTGGGAGGGGAAAAGTGTGTTAGCAGGAGGGACTTCAGATAGATTCGTCCTCTGCTGAGTTGGCCTGTCCTTCCAGCCCCAGGAATGGCCTTCAGGAAAAGCACAAGAGCCTGGCCTTCCACCGACCACCATATCACCTGCTGCAGCAACGTGACAGTCAGGATGCCAGTGCTGAGCAAAGGTGGGTGCCACTCTACACCATTGTCCTCATGGGGGGATGGGCAGCAAGTGGGCAGAGGCTTACTCCTCCTTCCCCTTCCCACAGTGACCATGATGATGAGGTGGCCAGCCTTGCCTCTGCTTCAGGAGGCTTTGGCACCAAAGTTCCTGCTCCACGGCTGCCTGCCAAGGACTGGAAGACCAAGGGATCCCCTCGAACCTCACCCAAGCTCAAAAGGAAAAGCAAGAAGGATGATGGGTAGGGAGGAATCCTAGGGAGGGAGAGGGTGGTCTCCAGGCTGCCTGACGTAGCCTGAGGTGCTTCTCACCTATGGCAGGGATGCAGCCATGGGATCCCGGCTCACAGAGCACCAGGTAAGTGAACGAGCCCACTTTGTACTTGTGGAACTTCACCTTGCGGGGGTGGAGAAGGGCTCTGGGCCATTCCCTGGTCTGGTGTGTGGGGATGGGTGGGGCAGGCATCGTGTGACTGTCAGTGCTATTGACAGGTGCCAGAGCCCCCTGAGGACTGGCCAGCCCTAATTTGGCAACAGCAGAGAGAGCTGGCAGAGCTGCGGCACAGCCAAGAAGAGCTGCTGCAGCGTCTGTGTACCCAACTCGAAGGCCTGCAGAGCACAGTTACAGGCCACGTAGAACGTGCCCTTGAGACCCGGCACGAGCAGGAGCGTATCCTTGAGACTGGTAACACAACATGGCATAGGGATGGGGGCAGCATTCTTGGCCTGGGAAGGAGTACACGACCTGCTCCAGGCCTGTTCCTTAGCTACGGCGCAGAGCGGCGGCTGGAACGAGCACTGGCTGAGGGGCAGCAGCGGGGAGGGCAGCTGCAGGAGCAGCTGACACAACAGTTGTCCCAAGCACTGTCTTCAGCTGTAGCTGGGCGGCTAGAGCGCAGCATACGGGATGAGATCAAGAAGACAGTCCCTCCATGTGAGTTTCGCATGCAGATTCCTTTTGGGTGGTTCAGGTGGAAGTGGGGGTACTTGTCAAGCTTCTTCTCATGGCTCCACCTCCCCCTCTTCCCCTCTGCCAGGTGTCTCAAGGAGTCTGGAGCCTATGGCAGGCCAACTGAGCAACTCAGTGGCTACCAAGCTCACAGCTGTGGAGGGCAGCATGAAAGAGAACATCTCCAAGCTGCTCAAGTCCAAGGTGCTATAGGGCCCAAGATGTGGGTGGAAGTGGTGGTTCCTGGGCCTAGTCAGGCCAGGTTGGGCTCAGGTTTTCAGGTTTTCTTTTTTTTTTTTTTTTGAGATGGAAGTCTCACTCTGCCTCCCAGGCTGGAGTGCAATGGTGTAATCTCAGCTCACTGCAACCTCTGCCTTCCGGGTTCAAGTGATTCTCCTGCCTCAGCCTGCCAAGTAGCTGGGGCTACAGGTGCCCGCCACCACACCCTGATCTCATGATCTGCCCGCCTCGGCCTCCCAAAGTGCTAGGATTACAGGTGTGAGCCACTGCGCCCAGCAGGCTCAGGTTTTCAACTTGGCCCCCTCTTCTAACCCCAGAACTTGACTGATGCCATCGCCCGAGCAGCTGCAGACACATTACAGGGGCCGATGCAGGCAGCCTACCGGGAAGCCTTCCAGAGTGTGGTGCTGCCGGCCTTTGAGAAGAGCTGCCAGGCCATGTTCCAGCAAATCAATGATAGCTTCCGACTGGGGACACAGGAATGTGAGTGGGGTCATATGGCCCAAGGTGGGAGGGGTTATCCTCTTTCCTTCTGTTCCTCTTATAGTCCCTGTGGTCACCCCTCAGACTTGCAGCAGCTAGAAAGCCACATGAAGAGCCGGAAGGCACGGGAACAGGAGGCCAGGGAGCCTGTGCTGGCCCAGCTGCGGGGCCTGGTCAGCACACTGCAGAGTGCCACTGAGCAGATGGCAGCCACCGTGGCCAGCAGTGTTCGGGCTGAGGTGCAGCACCAGCTGCATGTGGCTGTGGGCAGGTGTGTGGGCAGAGTACTGGGCAAGGTGGTGGGCTTGAGGAAGGCCAGACTGGGCTCCCTGTCCACTTCACCTCACTCACTTCCCTTTGCAGCCTTCAGGAGTCCATTTTAGCACAGGTACAGCGCATCGTTAAGGGTGAGGTGAGTGTGGCACTCAAGGAGCAGCAGGCCGCCGTCACCTCCAGCATCATGCAGGCCATGCGCTCAGCTGCTGGCACACCTGTCCCCTCTGCCCACCTTGACTGCCAGGCCCAGCAAGCCCATATCCTGCAGCTGCTGCAGCAGGGCCACCTCAATCAGGCCTTCCAGCAGGTATGATAGGCGTTAGGCCCTGGTAAGGGTCACGTGTCTCTTGACAAGGCCCTCACACCATACATTCCACCCACCAGCTTTGCACCTTCTGGCCCCAGCAGACTGTTCTTGGTTCCCTTTGGCCTCCAGGCCATTGTCCCTGCTGCTTCCTCTTCCTGGACCCCCTTCTTCCCACCTAGCCCACCTTGCTTTACAACTACCCTTCTCAGGAACCATTTCCCAATCCCCTAGGGTAACTATACAACCCTGCGGGGCTCTCTCTGAGTCCCTCTGGAGCCCTCACTAGCGCACCCCGTTGTCTTCCTCCCTCAGGCCACACAGTTCAGATAAACAGACATTCCATCCTGATATTTGCTATAAACACTGCTCTTTTTTTCTCCTCCAGGCACTGACAGCTGCTGACCTGAACCTGGTGCTGTATGTGTGTGAAACTGTAGACCCAGCCCAGGTTTTTGGGCAGCCACCCTGCCCACTCTCTCAGCCTGTGCTCCTTTCCCTCATCCAGCAGCTGGCATCTGACCTTGGCACTCGAACTGACCTCAAGCTCAGGTAAGTGGGGGCAGCCAGGAATGGGGAGATGAGCTGGGGAGTGGGGGAGTGGGAGCGAGCAGTTTGAAGCTGACACCCACTTCTGCCTGAATCCTCTCCCTAATTTTCTCCACCAATCCTCTCTGCCCTCACCCAGAGGGTTCCCTCTGGGCTTCAGTGCCACCAGGGGGCGCTCCCATCTGCTGGTGCCCACCTGTAGCCTGTCCTTTCCCCCATCCCCAGCTACCTGGAAGAGGCCGTGATGCATCTGGACCACAGTGACCCCATCACTCGGGACCACATGGGCTCCGTTATGGCCCAGGTGCGCCAAAAGCTTTATCAGTTCCTGCAGGCTGAGCCACACAACTCACTTGGCAAAGCGGCCCGGCGTCTCAGCCTCATGCTGCATGGTCTTGTGACCCCCAGCCTCCCTTAGCTGCTAAGCCTGCCTTGCCCAGGGGTGGGATGGCACTGAAGGCCATCAGACAGGCCTAGGCCGAGGCAGGGTCACGGCTGGCCTTTACCTGCTCAGGCCCCCATCTCTGGGGTGTTTGGGGGTCAGGGAGCAGGGAGCACTGGCCGTGGTCTACAGGGTGTGGTGGTCAGAAGGTTTAGGCTGGGCCCAGGGCAGGTATTGTGCCTGCTTGGGTTCTGCCATGCCTGGAGCATGACCCTGAGATCGTGACACCACTTGAGTGGAATTTTCCATGTTCCTTTTTACCTCTAATTTGGATCTTTTTGTTTTTGAAAAATATTGAGAAATTCAATTAAATGCTTTTGGAATAAAATGGAGTATGTGTGTGCTTTTGGTTTGTCTTTGGTGTGACTCTCATAACTGCCCTCTGTTCCTTCCCTGCCCCTCTCTTCCCTGTGGAGCTCTGTCTAGGCCAACCCAGCCAAGGGGCGGGGTTACCCACTCATCTGCTCCAACTGCCTTCCCAGATCTCCCTTCTCCCTCCTTTTATGGGGTGAGGGTCCAGGGGCCTGCTCAGCACCAGCCTGTGCTCCTGGGAATTTCTGCTCGCTGAGGTCCCTTCTCCCGCTCCTTTTCCCATTTGGGTGTTGGAGGCGGAGCCGTCGGCTGGGTTCGGAGCCCCACCCCCTTCTTCCATCCAATCACCGTCCCTCCCTCCGGGGGCTGGGCGGACGGGCTGCGCTCCAAGCTGCTAGCTCCCGCACTAGGCTCTCAGCCAGGGACGATGCGCCGCTGCCACTGCCGCTGCTGCCGCCGCCGCTGCTGCCGCCGCCGCTGCTGCTGGCAACCACCCCGTGCCCTGAGGCCGTTGCTGTTGCTGCCCCTCGGTGAGTGCGGGCGTCCGGGGCCCGGGCCACACCCCCTTCTCGCCCAGCCAGGCCAGACTGGGCATAGGGTGTGTGGGAACACTGGGCACCAGGGTGGAGAAGAGTTGCAAGGGCTCCAGGAAGGTGTGCTGGTGACTTCAGGACAGAAAGTGAGAGGCACAAATAGCCCTAGTTATGGGAGAAGGACTCCAAAATTTGCATCCCCTCTTATGATAAAGGGAGACATGCCAATGGCAGGACTTATAGATCGGTCATAGGATCCCTAAGTCCTCTCTGAGGGTCTGGCCTGGATCCCAATACCTCTGCATCCTGCCCTGTCTCTCCAAAAATACCTATCTTTAGAGAGAGTTTGGAGGGCCAAGCAAAGCTTGTCTAAACCGCAGAGAGATGCACCTGTTCCTAGTCCCGGGCCTCTGGACCACCCTCCCCTCCACCCTATCCTGATTCCTTCATGTGAACCCTCCTCATCCCACCTGGGGCCCCAGAAGCTCAGAGGAAGAGTTGATTTGGGGGACACAACATCCCCTCCCCCTGTGCAAATCCCAGTCTGGGTCTTACCTTGAAGGGGGCCTGGGTAGGTAATCCCCAGATTTGCCCTTTAGTCCCCTAGGGCACCCTTTTTCCGCTGAGTCACATCCCCAGAGTGCTCCCAGGTAAACAAGCCCCTGGGGGCTGGGGGACGGGCCTGGCTCATCCTATCTACCATTCCCCCACCCCCACCCCACTTCTAGTCCTTGTACCTCGCCTGGCAGCAGCTGCAGCGGGCCCAAACCGCTGTGACACCATATACCAGGGCTTCGCCGAGTGTCTCATCCGCTTGGGGGACGGCATGGGCCGCGGAGGCGAGCTGGAGACCATCTGCAGGTACCAGCGGGTGCGAGGCAGTGGCCCAACCTGTGCCACCATTGGGGACTGAACCTTTTATTTCCCAAACCAAAATCTCCTTGCCTCACCTAATCCCCCTAATCTCACTCCCTTAACAGATCTTGGAATGACTTCCATGCCTGTGCCTCTCGGGTCCTGTTGGGCTGTCCGGAGGAGGCAGCTGCAGTGTGGGAATCACTACAGCAAGAAGCTCGCCGGGCCCCCCATCCGAATAACTTGCACACTCTGTGCAGTGCCCCGGTGCATGTTCGGGAGCGCGGTACAGGCTCCGAAACCAACCAGGAGACACTGCCAGCTGCAGCACTTGCACTCCCCATGGCCCCTGCGCCCCCACTGCTGGCGGCTGCTCTGGCTCTGACCTACCTCCTGGGGCCTCTGGCCTAGCCTATCAGGTCAGGTGGCAGTGCCTGTGCCTCCAGCCCTGCCCTGGCGGTGGTTGTCCAGGCTCTGCAGAGCGCAGCAGGGCTTTTCATTAAAGGTATTTATATTTGTACTAAGCTCCTTCCTTTCTCCTGGCTGCGGCCTTGCTTGGCTGGGGCCAGGGACTCCCAGAAACTGATCCTTTGCTTGGATGGAATGGGCGGGGCTGAGGGCCACCACAGGGGACTCACTCTTCCTCCTTACAAACACTGGTTTCCCAGTGGCAGCGCAAAGCTTTCCATTTCGTGCAGGTCCCAAGAGCTCCTCCACTGGAGACCAGAGATCTGCCGGAATGCACAGTCTTCCTCTACTTTCCTATGCTGGCTTGGGGTCGGGAGGGCGGGGTCTCAGCCCTGCACTCCTAGCACTGCCTACCCCTTCTATCCCGGCCCCTGGGGGCCAGGTGAGCTGGTGAAGTGCCCTTGATCTCAGCTCCACGGCCTCCCCAGCCTCTGGGCTCCTGACCATTTCACCTCCTCCTCTCTCTGCCTGTCACCTCAGCCTTCAAGGCACAGCACAGACTGTGTGCTCAGTCCCTTCCTCTGGCTTTCTGGTCTGTCTGAAGGAGGCCTGTTCTAGAAGGTGGGGAGCCTCTGTTGAAGTCCACATTCAAGCCCCTGATATGACCTGAAGTGGCAAAAACTGGGGTTACTGTAAGGGTTCCTCTGGCCTCTGCTCTCCACAACCTTGTTCTTTGAGAAGAGGTAGGCGGTGTGTTGTCAAAACAACTGCAGAAGGCTTTCTGGAAGCCGTGGAATGACAGCATGTGGTGTGCGAGGAGCCCCTCTTCATAGCGGTGGAAAGGAAGAGCAAAATCAGCTAGGCAGAATCTGAGGAAGGAGGAAGCCTTCTGGGGGTGGGACCTTCTGATCAGCCTTCTCCCACCACTGTCAGGATCCTATTCCAAGCCATCACCCCACGGTTTATAGAGGCACTGCCATAGTCTCCTCATTGACTTATATTATCGCTCCCTCCACTTTATTTTTATTTATTTATTTTTTTTTGAGATGGAGTCTTGCTCTTGTCACCCAGGCTGGAATGCAGTGGCGCAATCTTGGCTCACTGCAACCTCCACCTCCTGGGTTCAAGCAATTCTCCTGCCTCAGCCTCCCTAGTAGCTGGGATTACAGGTGCCCGCCACCATGCCCAACTAATTTTGTATTTTTAGTAGAGATGGGTTTCACCATGTTGGCCAGGCTGGTCTCGAACTCCTGACCTCAGGTGATCTGACCCCCTTGGCCTCCCAAAGTGCTGGGATTGCAGGCATGAGCCACCATGTTCGGCCTTATTCTTTACTTTCTAAATTGAAAAACTCAGCCGGGTGCAGTGGCTCACTCTTGTAGTATCACCTCCTCTAGGAACTATTCCCTAACCCTGACTACAAGCTGAATCAGAAGGCTCCTCTAGGTCCACACAGCTCCTGGATTCCCTTCTGCCTCAGTACTGATAGCACTAGCTTGTTATTGTCTAGGTACAGGTCAGAATTCCCCACTGTGGATTCCCCAAGGGCAGGAAGTCCTTTTTGTCAGAATCCTCGTTGTGTCTCTAGCATCCATCCTAGGGCTGGATATAAAGGGTGCACTTGTGGGAGGGTGTGGAATGAAAGATAGAGCTCTTAAGTCCAGCATGGGAAGTGCTACAGTCAGCAAGAGCTTGGACTGAGAATGACCCCACTGTGGAGGTGTGTCATTTTAGGGTGGCACCTTTACCCTGGGCATACTGCTAGGAAGGATGGTGCTGGGGCTGTATATCCCAGAAGTCTTCCAGAGCTGGGCTTGGATGACCAGGAGCAGGGGCCTGGCTGTTCTGGCCAGCCATCAGGGAGATTACCATCCTCCTGCTGTGACCTACTTTTCCCCTGGTTTTTGCTCTCTAAGTCCCTACTCTTCCATGGAATAGAGTGGGGCTTGGGGAGGGGGGAAAGAATCTGCTCTCCGGCCAGGGGCTTAAGGGCTTTGTGTGTTTTATCCTAGAGCTGGAGGAGAGGGGTGGGCTGATAGCCAAGCTGGCTGGGCCCTGGGCACAGCTGCCCAGGCCAGAGCATCATGGTGATGGTGTTTCGCACATTTGTTTATTTATTTATTTTTTTTTTTTGAGATGGAGTCTCGCTGTGTCGCCCGGGCTGGAGTGCAGTGGCCGGATCTCTCAGCTTACTGCAAGCTCCGCCTCCTGGGTTTTTACGCCATTCTCCTGCCTCAGCCTCCCGAGTAGCTGGGACTACAGGCGCCCGCCACCTCGCCCAGCTAGTTTTTTTGTATTTTTAGTAGAGACGGGGTTTCACCGTGTTAGCCAGGATGGTCTCGATCTCCTGACCTCGTGATCCGCCCGTCTCGGCCTCCCAAAGTGCTGGGATTACAGGCTTGAGCCACCGCGCCTGGCGTTTCGCACATTTGAAGCACTGTGGACAAGGAGTACCTTATTGTTCTGAGAGAGCCTGAGGGATGGATGTCCTGAATCCAGTCCCCTCTGCATTAATGTATCTCTTCACCTAAGGACCTCCCTCCTGCTCTTCTCCAGAGCCCAAACCAGCACACAGTAAGGGTTCAATAAATATTTGTTAATTAATGCACTGAATGTCTGTAAAACAGGAGTGTTGTGTAGATTTCTGAGTGCCATCAACCTGGAATTCATATTACTTTTAACCCTCACAACAACTCTGTAAGGTCAGGATTATGACCCCCCCGCTTATATTTTATTTATTTATTTTATTTTTATTTTATTTATTTGCTCCGCCTCCTGCGTTCACGCCATTCTTCCTGCCTCAGCCTCCCAAGTAGCTGGGACTACAAGCGCCCATCCACCACGCCTGGCTCAATTTTTTGCGTTTTTAGTAGAGACGGGCGCTGTTAGTCAGGATGGTCTCGATCTCCTGACCTCGTGATCCGCCCGCCTCGGCCTCCCAAAGTGCTGGGATTACAGGCGTGAGCCACCGCACCCAGCCTTTATTTTTTGAGACAAAGTCTCATTCTGTCACTCAGGCTGGAGTGCAGCAACCCAATCCTGGCTCACTGCAGCCTTGACCTCCTGGGCTCAAGCGATTCTCCAGCCTCAGCCTCTTGTGTAGCTAGGACTATAGGTCTGTGCTATCACACCCAGCTAATTTTATATTTTGGCAGAGACAGGGTCTCATTATGTCACCCAGGCTGGTCTCGAACTCTTGGCCTCAAATGATCCTCCTCCCTCAGCCACCCAAAGTGTTGAGATTACAAGCACGGAGCTAACCTTATTATATAGCTAAGAAAAATGAGGCTCATGGGCCAGACGTGGTGGTTCATGCCTGTAAGCCCTGCATTTTGGGAGGCCGAGGCAGGTGGATCACCTGAGGTCGGGAGTTTGAGACCAGTCTGACCAACATGGAGAAACCCTGTCTCTACTAAAAATACAAAAAATTAGCTGGGTGTGGTGGTGCATGCCTGTAATCTCAGCTACTCAGGAGGCTGAGGCAGGAGAATTGCTTGAACCTGGAAGGCAGAGGTTACGGTGAGGCAAGATCGTGCCATTGCACTCTAGCCTGAACAAGAGTGAAACTCCATCTCAAAAAAAAAAAAAAAAAAAGAAAAAGAAAAATGAGGCTTATGGCCCAGCGCAGTGGTCCATGCCTGTAATCCCAGCACCTTGGAAGGCTGAGGTGGGAGGATCACTTAAGGCCCTATGTCAACAAATAGGCCAGGCGCAGTGGCTCAGGCCTGTAATCCCAGCACTTTGGGAGGCTGAGGCTGGCAGATCACCTGAGGTTGAGGAGAGTTCGAGACCAGCCTAACCAACATGAAAAAACCCTCTCTCTACTATAAGTACAAAATTAGGCCAGGCACGATAGCTCACACCTGTAATCCCAGCACTTTGGGAAGCTGAGGCAGGAGAATCGCTTGAACCTGGGAGGCAGAGGTTGCAGTGAGCTGAGATCATGCAATTGCACTCCAGCCTGGAAAACGAGCAAAACTCCGTCTCAAAATACATAAATAAATAAGCAAGTCAGGCATGGTGGTGCGTGCCTGTAGACTTAGCTATTTGGGAGGCTGAGGTATAGGGGGATTTTAAGGAATCAGAGAGACCAATGGGGTTCAGGAGGATATTTATTAATTATTTAGGTTCACCGGCCCAGTCGGATTAAAATCTGAAGGACTGAGCCCTGAACAAAGAGTTAAGTTACCTTTTAAGCATTTTGTGGGGCAGGGGGAGCTCTTTGCAGGGGGAAGCATATTACAGAAGCAAGAAACAAAGGCTGTTATTAAATTAATTGAGACATGCATTACATCATTTCTTTCTTTTCAAGAAGAAGCATGTTTTACGACTTGAGTTTATCTGTCTAGTGACCTTGCAACTGCACAGCTAGGGAAACGGGGTCTTCACAATGCCTGGGAAAGGAGGAGAGATAAGGCTCACTAGCCGCAGAAAAACAGGCAGTTAATTTTTAAAGGACTCCAGCTCTTTCTCTTTCTCAGGGGGAATTGGATTTTCTTATATACAACTCAGTTTCTGCTTACACATTCTTCAATTTCTTGTAATTCCTGTTCCAGAGGCAAAGGATCCCTTGAGCCTAGGAGTTCGAGGTTACAGTGAGCTTTGATTGATGCCATGCACTCCAGCCTGGATGACAGAGCAAGACCCTGTCTCTATTAAAAAAATAAAAAAGGCTGGGAGCAGTGGCTCACGCCTATAATCTCAGCACTTTGGGAGGCCGAGGCCAGTGGATCATCTGAGGTCAGGAGTTCAAGACCAACCTGGCCAAAATTTAAAAAATAAAATGAGGCTAATGAGGCAGATGTCTTGCTTAAAGTCAAACAGCTCTGGAAGTGTCAGAGCTGGGATTTGATCCCAGGTTATGCTTAAGCCTCAAAGTCTATACCCTTAATTATTGCACTAGACTTTTGGAAACAATTTTTTAACTTTTTTTTTTTTTTTGAGACGGAGTTCACTCTTTGGTCGCCCAGGCTGTCATGCAATGGCGTGATCTCGGTTCACTACAACCTCTGCCTCCCGGGTTCAAGCAATTCTCCTGCCTCAGCCTCCCAAGTAGCTGGGATTACAGGGCCCGCCACCACACCTAGCTAATTTTTGTATTTGTTGGTTAGCAATGGGGTTTCATTCATGTTAGCCAGGCTGGTCTCGCGAACTCCTGACCTCAGGTGATCTGCCCACCTGGGCCTCCAAAGTGCTAGGATTTACAGGCGTGAGGCACTGCGCTGGCCACCATTGTTCTTTTTAATGAAAATCTTTTTTTTTTTTTTTTTTTTTTTTGAGAGCGAGTCTCGGTGCTGTCAGTGGCGCGGATCCTGGCTCACTGCAAGCCCCGCCTCCTGGGTTCACGCCATTCTCCTGCCTCAGCCTCCCGAGTAGCCTGGAACTACATGCGCCCGCCACCGCGCCGGCTTTTTTTTGTATTTTTTAGTAGAGACGGGTTTCACCATGGTCTCGATCTCCTGACCTTGTGATCCGCCCGCCTCGGCCTCCCAAAGTGCTGGGATTACAGGCCGTGAGCCACCCGCGCCCGGCGCTAATGAAACTCTTGTTGAAACCTATACTACGGGCTGGGCGTGGTGGTCTCCACCTGTAATCCGAGCACTTTTGGGAGTGCTGAGTTAGGAGGGCAGACTCGCCCTGAAGGTTAGGAGTTCGGACCGCTTGGCCAACATGGTGAAACCCGTGTCTCTTACTAAAATTACAAAAGGTGCTGAGCGTGGGGCTCACGCCTGTTAATCCAGCACTTTGGGAGGCTGGAGGTGGGGTGGATCAGGGAGGTCAGGAGATCAGAACCATCTCGGCGTAACACGGATGAAACCCTGTCTCTACTTAAAATATAAAAAAAGTTACCGAGGGCGGTGGTGGCTGGGGCCCCTGATAGTTCCAGCCTACTCGGGAGGCCTGAGGCCAGGGGAATGGCGTGAACCAGGAGGCAGAGCTTGGCAGTGAGACCGGAAGATTGCTGCCAACTGCCACTCCAGCCTGGGTGACAGAGGCAGACTCCAATCTCAACAACAACAAAAAAGATTAAATTAAAAATAAAAATAAGAAATTAACCGGCATGCCCTGGATAATTTTTGTATTTTTAGTAGAGACGGGCGGTTTCACATTGTTGGGTCAGACTGGTCTCAAACTCCTGACCGGAGGTGATCCACTGCCTTAGCCTCAAACAGTGCAGTGGATTACAGCAGTGAGACCAACTGCACCAGCGACGACATATGTTTTATGGTGCTTAAATTTATTTTTATGGCGTTTTAAAAGTATAACATTAGCTTATACAGTCAATCAAAGACAGTTCCATGTGCCATAAGTACATAACTCAATAAAAGATTGAATTTAAAACACCCATCTCTCTGCCTCACGCCCCATTCTCCTGCCTCAGCCTCCTACCAGGCTGGGACTACAGGCGCCCACCACCATGCTAGCCTAATTTTTTTATATTTTAGTAGAGACGTCGGTTTCACCGTGTTAGCCAGGATGGGTCTCAGAATCTCCTGACCTCGTGATCCGCCCACCGCTCGGCCTACAAGTGTTGGGCATTACAGCGTGAGCCATCGCATGGGTCGAGCTGGATGTCTGTTTTTTTTTTTTTTTTTTTTTTTGAGATGGAGTCTTGCTCTGTCACCCAGGCTGGTAGTGCAGTGGTGCGATCTCAGCTCACTGCAACCTTTGCCTCCCAGGTTCAAGCGATTCTCCTGCCTCAGCCTCCCGAGTAGCTGGGATTATAGGCACGCACCACCACACCTGGCTAATTTTTGAGCCACTGAAATGGGGAAGATGGATGGAGGTTACAATGCACTTACCATCTGCAGCACCTATTTTTCCCCCTCCAAGTTGGGTTGACTGTAAAGTGAACCAGTTCTGATCCTATAGAGAAGTCATCGTGAATGGTAACAATTTTTTTAAAATCCGCTTGCTTTTCAGACTCGGGATATAAATTAAATTAACAACAACAAATAACCATGAGTCCAGAAGTTGGCCCAAGATTGACTTCACCAATCTACAAGTTAACCATTTGCACCTCTTCTTTGATAGAGGCCAAATTCAACACATGGAGTTCTGAAATTATTCTAATTGCAATTTTAAAAAATATATTTTGTTAATGAAATTTAAGTCAATCCTTTGCGGAGTTCCAGAGGCACTTCCAGAAACCTC